GGGCGGGGAGCCGGGGGCCGGACCGCGGCGGCGCCGAGCTGGGCTCGCCCCTGACTTAACTTTCTGGATGCGGGCATGTGTGCAGGAGGCGCGCTGGGGCCGGGGCTGGGGGCGGGAGGCGGTCCGGGAGGTTCCGGGTTGGCTCGCCAGCGCCCCCTTTTCTCTCCCCCTTCTCTCCGCCCCTGAAGGGACAGGCCCTCAGGGCCCCAGGCGGGAAGCGGGAGGGGCCCTCCCGGCTGACTCGCGACGGTCACGCCCCGGGCCCGAGGACGGTTCTCCTTCGGGCCTCTGGGGGCTGCTGAGTGAGGGGGCCGGGGTCGTCGCGGCGTGTTGGGGCTCCCCGTCCCCCGCCCCTCCGGGGAGTCCCGGAGGCGCCTCTTCCGAGATCGGGGGTGGGTCGGTCCCTGGTTAGAGGGTTCCTCCCTCTTCCCCCTCCCTCTAGTGGTTTCCGGGGCCTGCGGGACCGAGGGGCGGGAATCGGGGACCCGAGCCCCTTGCGCCGGCCCAGAGCTGGACCGGGCCTAACGGCTTCGGGGTCTGTCACTGGTAGGGGAAACTTTCCCAAACCGGGGACCAAGCCTGAACACCTCCTCCGCCACCTCGTCCTCTAATCCCACTCCCACTCCACCTCCTCCAACACCTTCCCCTCCCACCGACCCGAATCTCGCTGCGTGTGACTGATGGGGCAGTGAGCCAATCATAGGCGGGGAGCTGACCTGCCGGGTGTCGGTAAGCCAATCGTGGGGACCGGAGGAAGGAAGGGGGCGGGGTTGCTTCCCGACCAGTTAGAGCAGAGTTGCACGCGGGGCGGGGAAGTCATGGAGACGCCGAGCTAGCCACTCTTGTCCATCCCTAGTCACCCGGTCCTTGGTCTGTGCGGTAGTGTCACTTATAGAGTCTCCCACCCAGGAGGCATGTAGTTTACGCGAGATACTGTATTTTTCTTGGTACCACAAGAGACGTCGTCTTAGACACGACGAAGTCTAAAGCCACTTAGTATGTGGCAGTAACTCTCCGAGGCCCGTTTCTAAAATGGCATATATATTGTAGTGATCGTGTTCTGGACCTCAGCGACGGGTTTACGTGCAGAGGCTCATAGGAGTTATCAGTTTACCCCTACCTCACTTTCACTCAGCTACTCTAGGGTGGGGACAGTGAATTTTCAAGGGTTCTCTGAAAATGAAGGCATCGGGATAGTCTTACGTCAATTGATTATTGGGAGTGTAAAGCATCATTGTTTGTAATGGCTTCGCTGGTTCCTTGTTTAATTAGACCGCCAGTTCCCAAAGTGCACTTGGAAGTTCGGCATTTGGGATGATCTTAAAAAAAAAAAAAAGTCGTTTATGGTATGCGTTTTCTTTGTTTTTTTCTTTTTCTTGAGTAAACAAAATGAAGTTAGGAACCAAAGCATCACTGTTCGAAAAATAAAGCGTTGGTATTTAAGAAGCAAAGCTAGTCAAAGAATATTTGTCTACAGAAAAAAAAAAAGTCTAAAGTGTAGTTTGCTGGATTACTCCCACACAAAAGATTCTTAAAAAAATAGTTTTCTTCTTTAAACACACTGCTGAATTGTACAGTGTGTGAGTACTTTTCTGGTTTATGCAAGGTTAGGAGACATCTTTGGTTGTTTTATGTTGGTTGTTGGGTTCAGTACAGTGACTTTCTCAAGTCCTGACTTTTAAGAATAGGGAGGATAGGTCTTTGGTTCTCAATAAAGAGCACAGGTTGCTCCGCAGGCGTAAGCTCCTGTTCTTTGTTGGTGAGGTTTAGTGCACGCTGACAGCAGCAAGGATCCTTTTCCCAACTGGAATTTGTAAAATCTTTGGGAGTTCAAAGAATGAATCATGTTAAACTGAGAATGAATTCATTCATTTTGTCCTAAGTATCCCTTGAATTTAACTGATCTTGGGAGGCTTTTTTGGGGGGGGGGTGTCTTATGTGCGTGGTATTTATCTATACTGCTTTCTCAAGCTTCTGTTAATATTTGGTTAGTATAAGAAAGAACTGAGGAATTGTAGTTTTAGGAAACAGTATTTACCACACTCTACAGATGTATTGTTGTAATATACCATTCTCAAATTTATAATGTGAATTCTCAATTCAGTATAATTTTGAGTGTTTATGTAGACAAAAATTAATTGCATTTTGCTGTAGCCCTTTGGGTGTTATTTTAGTGATAAAATAATAAAAACTGTGGTGATAAAACATTTAGCTGCCAGAAGTGGGGAATATCATAAATTAAACAACATTCAAAATTTGACAGCACTGAAAACCCCCATCATTAGTTAATTTAGTTACTGATGGCCACTCTGACGTGTGCCCTTCTCTCTCTTTTGTATGTGTAAGAGCAACACATTATCTTCATTCTCTACAACAATCCTTGAAAGTGTTCTCAGATTCTTGGTGGCAGAGAGTAGCAAGTCCTCTAAAGCCTGGCTGGGGGTTGTGGGGGGGGAGAAAAAAACCTCTCAAGCATATGGAGACATCTAGAAAAAGATGTGCATCGTCAGCTGTGATTCCATTGTGTGCTCTCAGACTAGATCTGAGCCTTCTTCCTCCTGGGGATTTCAGTCTTAACAGAGGAGTTCTTTGACTTTTAGATGTCAGGGTACTGAAACAAGGTAGAAAGAAGCTCACTAATTATGAATTTTATATTTTTTAGATACTTTGGCTCTGATTTTAACCTTTTATTGGCTAAATATAATTTATATGACTTTTGTTCACTGTTAGAGGAACATTTCACTGGAAATGTAAAATGTAAGGATCGGAGGGGGACTTGGGCTGTGGTATGAGTGTATAAAGGGGTAATGCTCCTTGGTTGGCTTTATCTATAGCTATATCTTATTAAAGCTTTCTAAGCCTCACAATCAAGGACTTGTGAGCAGTGCTTTCATTACACACCCTATATTTAAGGATTCAGTACCTTCGCTGTTTCAAATCACATCAGGTTGAAATGTGACCCATAAGTTGGCAGCTTGAATTTCTGAGAAAAAAAAATGTTTGTGTTGTATTGGGTTTAAAAGCGATTCTTTTAAGCAGTCTTAGGATGTTAGGTAGCAAAAAAAAAAGTCTCTAAACAATTTTTCTAGAAGGTCAGTTTTCTGAAATGCACAGTGTGTTCTTATTTGATATTTTGACCGCTGTTATGTCGTTGAAATTATATTTAAAAGCCTAATTAATGCTTAGCTATTTTTATGGCAAAACTGCTATTTAAGAAATTACTGGCTTCTCAGTATTCTGTGTTTATAGTTTTGTTTGGTAATTTATGTTATTACATGCTCTATCAATTTTAAATTAAGAGAATAGGAGGGAGAAAGAAAATAAGTTACTGCTTTAAGGTATTGGTCTTTTATTGCAGTAAATCTTAAAATCAGTGGAAATTAGTATCTTTTCCTTTAATGAAATAATCAGATTCTATTTACATACCAATGATGAAAGCCATTCAAAGGAAAACAGAACAAAACCTTCAGTTTCTTATATTCAAACCTGAAGCTCATTTTACCTCTGTGACTTGCTTTCTCTTTTTTTTTTTTTTAAAGATTTTATTTATTTATTTGAGAGAGAGAATGAGAGAGAGAGAGAGCATGAGAGGGAGGGGGGAGAGTCAGAGGGAGAAGCAGACTCCCTGCCGAGCAGGGAGCCCGATGCGGGACTCGATCCTGGGAGTCCAGGATCATGACCTGAGCCGAAGGCAGTCGCTTAACCAACTGAGCCACCCAGGCGCCCCTGTGACTTGCTTTCTAAACAAAAAAAATATTCTTAGCGTTTAAGTGTTTGTTTCCTTTTTTTGTTTTAGATCTAGAAGGGTTTATGAATTGCAAACTGCAGAAAGAATGTGTTATGTCATGTTACTTTTAGAGTCTATTAAAAGTGATGTCTGGAAAAGCTATAAAATACAATTTTAGGTCATAGACCCTCAATTCAGACGGTATAAAGAAACTCGTACTTTATGGATTCTAGGTACTAATTTCTAAATAGAGGTGAGATTGTGACTTCTGTGAATATTTTAGAAGCTGGTTTAGTTTTCCTAGCTGTTGTAAAACTGAGGCAAAACGTTATGAAAAGAACTGGAAATCTTAAAGGTAAACTTGTGTTTGAAGGTAACTGAAATGAAAGGACTAGGTGGTCTGTAGGTAGAATACGATGCTCTTGGCTTTTAGGGCAAAGATTTTATGTCTATCCTATGAAATGTTCATCAGTAACCACATTTCTGGCTTCCAGTAGCTTATGATGACATAATGCAACTGTGGAAAAATTGATTCCAGGACAATTTTAAGTTGGTTCCCTAGTTGGAAATTTCTAGAGGAGAATTAAGTAAGCAGGGAACCTATGAGGATGTTTTATTTAGCTGCTTTTGAGGCTTTTGGATGTAGAATCTTAACTTTAAGAGAGAGAGGAAAACTGCTTGTAGGTAGAAGTTATTGGCAACTCGTTAAAGGTTCTGAAAGAAAAAAACAACTTTTAATTTTAAGTATCAATTGATAGATACATGAAGAATTGAAGTTAGCAGGTTAAATCTAGTAGAATTTATGCCTTACAGGCAGCTAATTATGAACTGTTA